AGGTTCAAACCCAGCCCTGGCCAAAAAATGAAAAAAAAAAAAACAAAAGTAGAGTCAGGGAAGGTTCCTTAGGAAGGTGCTGTTTAGGTTATTTTCATTAAGAGCCAGGTGATCAGACATTCTTTGCTCCTTGGGCATGTGGGCAACTAGTAAGTAAGTAACCAAAAACTAAGCATGAAAGCCTGAGCAGAGTAACTTGTCAGACAAATCACATTATACTAAGCCCAGCCACAACTGGTCTATTCTAAAAACAATGGTCTTGAATCATTCATGGTTTCATACCTTTCTCAGATGTTTAGCGTAGTCTTCTTGGCAAAATTGGATTAATGGCCCCTATGCTTGGAAATCAAGCTTCAATTATAAGCATTGACTTGGAAATCAGGATGTGCCTTTAGGGACAAATAAACCTAGTAGAAGCCATTTAGGGTTCTGGAATGAAGTTTATTGACTACCAAAACAATTATATTTGTCGTTGGATTACTGTGTCCATGGGAGAATTAATGGATATAATTGGTATACAAGAGTCTGCCTCTACATTGCTCTCATAGAGTTACCTGGAGTAGGGACCCACAGGTTAAGGAAACTGAGAGGTCCAGAGACATTGTCCACTAATCTGGGAGCACCTTGGAAAAGTGAGGGTTGTCAACAGAATGCTTTGTCTGAAAGGTCAAAATCATCCTTTCATAGAATAACAGTTTGCGGGTGGTGCCTGTGGCTCAGTAAGTAGGGCGCCGGCCCCATATACCGAGGATGGTAGGTTCAAATCCAACCCCTGCCAAACTGCAAAAAAATAGCCAGCTGTCGTGGCAGGCACCTGTAGTCCCAGCTACTTGGAAGGCTGAGGCAAGAGAATTGTCTAACCCCAGGAGTGGAGGCTGCTGTGACCTGTGATGCCACGGCACTCAATAAGTGCTTATGTGCAGCTCTATTTCTTAGTCCCTAAAAAAAAAAAGGTCTCGCTTTATCGCCCTCGGTAGAGTTCTGTGGTATCACAGCAACCTTCAACTCCTGGGCTCAGGCCATTCTCTTGCCACAGCCTCCCAAGTAGTTAACTATAGGTGCCCACCACAACACCTAGCTATTTTTTGGTTGCAGTTTGCCCAGGGCCTGGTTCGAACCTGCCAGCCTCAGTATATGGGGCTAGCACCCTAACCACTAAGCCACAGGTGCCACCCCTGCAACTCTATTTCAAATACTCATTTAATTCTCAACAACCTGAGGTAGGTTACTGTTCTCATTTAATAAAACAGAGAACTAAGAAAAATGAATTTGGGGCAGTGCCTGTAGCTCAGTAGGTAGGGCACTGGCCACACACACCAAAGTTGAAAGGTTCGAACCCAACCTGGGCCTGCTAAACCATGACAAAACAACAAAAAAATGGCAACAACAAAAAACATAATTGGGCGTTGTGACAGGCACCTGTAGTCCCAGCTACTTGGGAGGCTGAGGCAAGAGAATCGCTTAGGCCTAAGAGTTTGAGGTTGCTATGAGCTGTGATACCATAGCACTCTACCCAGGGTAACAACTTGAAACTCTGTCTCAAAAACAGAAAAATGAATTTAACCACAATCACATAGCAATGAACTGGTAGAGCCAGATCCATACCCAGCCTGACTTTGGTACCTAGGGTATTGGAACTTGCTATTCTGTTGTATTCCAAATCTTTTTTTTTTTTTTTTTTTTTT